GGTTTCGGCAGGGATGGGGTTAATCTCCCCAGGAGCCGGCAGGGGGCAGGTATTCCATACCACGTGACCCATGCCAGGGCTATAAGAGGAGCTAGCTGGGGAGAGGAGAGCAGTTGCTACTTGGGGGTGGGTTGTGGTGGTGCTGGTCTGGTCGGTGCACATCGCGGCGGTACTGTAATTGCGTCTTCATATCCCTTTATTGGTGCTATTGTTTTGTTTTCATCTTCCCTTTTGCTGTTCTGTTAAATTGCATTATTTTAACTCACGAGTTTTGCCCTGTCGATTTCTCTTTCCACGGCTGTGGGAGTTGAGCGAGCGGCTGCGTGGTTCTTTATTGCTCGCTGAGGCCAAACCACGACGGTTACGTACTTAACTTTAAGAGAAAAAGAGAGAAGAAAGAGAAACAGAGGGATAGAGAGAAAAAGAGAGAGAGAAAGAGATAAAGAGATCACCGGTCCTGGTTCCAGTGTTGGTCCATCAACGGGGGGTTTCTGGTTTGTAGGAGCGCTCCTCTGTGGATCTCCGGGGAAAAAAGAAGTCATCCGCAGGGGCAAAAAGACGTCTTCAGGGAAAAGAAGTTTTTCAGGGACCCTTATTTTCCCCTTTTATGTTTGCGGTCTCAGTACGACCCACACCGCTGTTGTGATGCTCAGGCTTCTCTCCCCCCCCCAGATGACACGTAGCATGATTTGGGTGGAGAGACGAGTCCTATAGTCAGGCATGTTTAGCATGATCTCGATCATCTTCATTAGCATATGCAGGGGTGTGAACTTTAATATGCATTTCATAGATAATGAGGCAAAGCTCATTATTGGACACAGTGGCCCTGAAAATAAAGAAGTTAACAAGCTTCACAAGTTGAGCAGAAAGCCTTGTCTTCACAAGACTTCCCCCCCCAGCATCCTGTGCTGTCCAGATGAGTTTTCTCTCCTGGGTCACACAAGAGAGAAGTAGGTGTTAGCCTTGTCAGTTCTTTGAGCACAAGGCCTACATTGTCCAGGCTCCACATTATCCCCCCCTTGGCTACAGCCATATCTCAAAGTCCTTGCAAGTGTTTGAGACATTCCTCAGTGAGGCTCAGAGGGCCTCCCCCGTCTTTTGTCTCTCACCATTTGTTTCAGGGAATTTACAAGTCATCTCTTACACTTGGGGTATTTTGAGAGACTTAATTTTTTGAAGTTCCAGTCCAATTTCTTATTCCAAGAGCCAAACATAAATAGACATCTGCTGTTGTCCCTGAGATCACCAATGTTTGCTATAATATACTCATTTTGATGCTAATTATATGCTTATTATTTTACTCCAGGGAAAATAATTGCTATGTTAATTCTTGTTGTTTATAGCTGTACAATGCTAAATGTCAGCAAAACTGTGATGTAAGCCTAATAATGAGTCCTATGTATTCATTTTAATAGATGAACTCATGGGAAAAGTAACATATAAAATTTAACTTTATGATTTCAACTAGAAATAAAGAATGTAATTACTCTTTTCTAGGCACCTTACTTGGAAATAAAGAAGCAGATGGATAAACAAGACCCGCTTGCACATCCTCTTCTACAATGGTATAAAATTGACTCACGTGAGATGATAATTATTGAAGTACCAAGTTGAATGAATAATCACTTCACCACTTTAATTTGGTATAAACTCACCCTAAGAATTAATGACAGGGCTGACATTTGCAACTGCATTTGTTTCTGGACTGTTTCTGGACCTCATCTGGGCCCTCTGAAAACACTGGAAAGACTCCAGCTTATTTGTATGGCCTCAGATCTGATTTGTAGTCCAGATTTGTTCTGCTTCCATCTGACAGGTTCAAAGGCCTGCAGCTGGATGTTTTGTGGTGGCCATTCATAACACATGCTTAAGAAGAAAAGTTCTGTTTGGTTATCATGTCTAATACATCTGTTTCTTATTTTAGGGTTATTTCTAGTAATAGATCACATATTGTGAAGCTACCAGCGAATAGAGTAAGTGTTTGTGGATTCTTTATTATTTTCTCATTCTTCATGGCTCGTTTTAACATTTTAGGTGGAAATCTCCTGTCCAAATGTGCTTGCATTCACATTAATCACATGGGATCTATTAATAGACAAGGGAGAGAAACAGGCAGGTTCAGGTCATGACTCATAGAATCATGTTGTGAATATCTAAAATAGGTCAAAGGAATAATGCTCAGAAAAAGCTTATTTGAGGCGAGTAGCTCAAATGCAAGTGTCCACCTTGCAGTCATCTGAGATCGGGTGAGAAGAGCATCACTATTTGTTTTGTTACCATATAGAATATTAGATACAGGATTGTACACACAAACGTGATGTACCAGGAGATCCACATATGAATACACTGTAAAAAGAATATAGCTCTAGAATTTGAGAGGGACGGTGCTGAGATTCATTTCTGATTGTGTGTGCCTCTCATCCTCTGATTAAGGGCATAGTAATCTGCAGCCTTTCAAATCTGAATCTTAATTCAAAGCCAGCTCTGATCAGAATACCATGATGAAATTGTTCAATTTAATTACTTTATTCAAGCCATATTAGGCTGAAATATGTTTCAGAAACTTCCATATGTTTCATAAACTAAAGGACATTTTTATTGTTTGATTTCAGGTGAAAACTATGGTAATGAGACCAATTTCAACTTAGTTCTTGTAGTTATTTAGATGCAGTCATACATTGTGTGAAACAGCATGGTATCTTAAGAACTACCATTATGGAAATACAATGCTTTTGTGTTAATCAACTTCTTTTCACCTGTACATTGTTATATTTTACAGCAACTGAAGTTTATGCACACTCCCCACCAGTTCCTACTTCTCAGCAGTCCACCAGCCAAAGAATCCAATTTCCGAGCTGCTAAAAATCTCTACGGAAGTACCTTTGCATTTCAGTAAGTACATATATTCATATTAATCAAAGGTTACCAAAATGCCATGCTATTTCTTTGTTCTTGCCATTTGAGGTTTACAGCTGGGAATATATTGTTTTAAAGGATTACTGATTCATTTTGCATTTCACATTGTGGATTTTAACACATTCTCTTTCACTTTTTTAGTGGTTCACACATTGAAAATTGGCATTCCATCCTGAGGAACGGCTTAGTTGTTGCATCCAATACGAGGCTGCAGGTAAATAGTAGACTAAATAGACTTTAGCTAATCTGTGCACATTTGATTACATATTAAGCTTAGATGAGTTTTCAAGGGATGAGGTTCTGGTAGTCATATAGGTGGCAAAAAGGGGTGATTTCAAATACCCTCATGTTTCCTGGAAGAAGTACTTTTCTGAAGCAATTAAAATGAAATAATGTGTCTGCTAAAATAGCTAAAAAGTCCCATCGATGGAATCAGTGTTTTGATTTTACATTACACAGCAGCACCTCCAGGAGGCTTAGCTGAGTACTGCTCGAAAGCAGTCTTGGGGATTAATATTTAGAGCTACATAAACTATGTCTATGTTATAGGATCCAAGAGCATCCTAGGTTTACGGAAACTGGATTTACAGCATCTTCTCTTCTTTTCTTCTCCGGTTTCCTTGGGAAAGGAATATGAGTGTACTGGCCAGGAGGGAGCTATTGCAAACTTCAGTTTGGTTTCTCAGACTGAATCATCAGGAGACCACTATTGCAGAGCAAAGTAGGCAGTATGAGAGGGACTGGGGAGCTGTAATTCAGAGTATTTTAGCATCAGGGTTTTGACAGCTCTTTCCCCAGAGCTGAGTCCATGGTACCTTGGAGGAGGATCCTGGGGTGCTGACTAAGGATCGAGGAACAGGAAACACTGAAAAAAAGGAAATGGAAATCTCTGCTGTTCTTCTTAGTGGTTTGGGTGTTTTTATTAGCATCCTTGTAAGATACTTTCCCAAGAAAGCAGGATTTACACACCAAAATTCACCAAAGTAAAACCCTTTGTTCATGCTTATATTTTTGTTCAGGGTTGAGATATTGGGAAGAGGAGGAAGCAGTAAAGCCCTGTTTTATACAAGTCATGATTTTTAATTCTCTCACACAACTAGGGCATATTCTGAGCCCAGTTCATTCTGCTTCCCCCAGTACCAACCAGTCAGGAAAAGATCTGGAAGAGTTGAGAGTATGATTGCACATTCCTATCGGAGCTCTGGCACATTGCAGAGATAATGTAAATGTCATTGGGCCGGAGGAAAGAAATAAGGGTGAGCATGACTCTGAAGCCCAGTCATATCTACCTGGGTAGGAGATACTCTGGGTTCTCGTTTGTGCTCCAACAACTACTTTGTGTGTTTTCTTTAAAGACTTTTCCACATAAAGCAGTCAGTCCCTGGAGAAGAAGTGAAACCCATACTTCCCCCTTTGCAGACAAGAAAATGATCACAGCAGTAATAAAAAGTGTTGCTTAGCCCAAGCTCCATGACATGGAGCAGTGATGTTGGTGAAGAAGAGTCTTCCCTTTCCTCTCTTCTTTTCAGATAGCTGGTAGCTTTGTGGCTAAAGCATAGTCCTGCGGTGACGGAATATGCATGTCTGAATTGGCTCAGACAAAAGTTGACTGAATCCATTCCTCCAGTACTCAGGCAGAACCAGTGACTGAATTTTTCTACAGCATATGAGCAGTGTTATCACCATCTCATCATTTCTTACCTTAAAGAAAAGAAAAGCAGTTGTTGCTGATGATGATTCACAAAGACTGGCTTAGGCTGTGGTTCCTGCCGAGGTTTTGATGTGAGACACATGCCAAGCTTGCTCAGCCTTGTTAAGGCTAAGATGTATTTGACCATCTACAGAAGCACCCTCTGTAGGTATCCTACATGGTAATGTTAGATTTAAAAAAAAGAAAATGCAATTTTATATATAAATCTGATGTAAAATTATCTTTGGGCGTTTGGACATGGTTTCCAGAATATACAGCATCTTAGTTGTATATTCACAGCATGATTTTTTTGAACACCATTTATTACCAGAAAATAAATTAGTGCAGTGGGGCAGATGCTTACCTACATTAGGAACTGTGCCTATCATTATTATTTTGTCCAGATAACTAAATTATTGTTAAACAATCACTCCGCTCTTTTTCAGCTCCATGGTGCAATGTTTGGAAGTGGAATCTACCTTAGTCCGTTGTCAAGCATATCATTTGGTTACTCAGGTGATATTTATAAATCACTCTAAAGTTGCAGAAATATAGGGGGGTATCTTAGTCTACTGCTTTTCTTCCCAGTTTCACTGTTTACAACACTAGTAAATTTTGTCTTTGTAGGCCAAGATTTAATTTATTTAAAAAAGAGAAAATCTAAGTTCCCTTATTAAATACCTGTCCTCGTTTTCCAAGGTACTGAGTATCTTGACACTGTGCTTGAAGTAAATAGTAGCTAATACTGGATGCTGTGTGTAATGGAGCAGGTGTTTATGAATATTCTCAAGTATCGCCATGTCAGGGTTATATAGAAAGTACAAGAGAGTGTGTTTATTTCAGCGTGAGAAGGGGAGGGAACATAATTTGTCCCACTCATAAATCCAAAAGTGAGTGATGCGCAGTTTTCCATGTAAGAATAAAATCATAAATAGAAGCACAATAGAAACATGATACACCAATGTGTATATACAGAAAATTTCATAGAAATTTTAACTTACAGTGACTTTTTCCTTTAGTTATGTTGTATTTACCATTTCATAAAATCACAGAATCATAGAATCATAGAATGATGTGAGTTGGAAGGAACCTTAAAGATCATCTAGTTCCAAACCATTGCCACAGGCAGGGGCACCTTCCACTAGACCAGGTTGCTCAAAGCCCCATCCAACCTGGCCTTGAACACTTCCAAGGATGGGGCATCCACAACTTCTCTGGACAACCTGTTCCAGTGTCTCACCATCCTCAGAGTAAAGAATTTCTTCTTTATATCTAATCTAAAACTACCCTCTTTCAGTTTACAACCATTACCCCTCGTCCGATCACTACACTCCCTGATAAAGAGACCCACCCATCTTTCCTGTAGGCCCCTTTTAGGTAGTGGAAGGCTGCTATAAGGTCTCCCCAGAGCCTTCTCTTCTCCAGGCTGAACAGCCCCAACTCTCTCAGCCTGTCTTCATAGGGGAGGTGCTCTAGTTCCCTGATCATCTTTGTGGCCCTCCTTTGGACTCACTCCAACAGGTCCATGTACTTCTTATGTTGGGGGCTCCAGAGCTGGACGCAGTACTCCAGGTGGGGTCTCACCAGAGTGTAGTAGAGGGGCACCTCCCTCGACCTGCTGGCCACGCTTCTTTTGATACAGCCCAGGATGCGGTTGGATTTCTGGGCTGCAAGTGCACATTGCCAAGTCATGTTGAGCTTCTCATCAACCAACACCCCCAAGCCCTTCTTTCTCAGGGCTGCTCTCCATCCATTCTCCGGCCATCCTGTGTTTGTGCTTGGGATTGCTACAACCCATGTGCAGGACCTTGCACTTGGCCTTGTTGAACTTCATGAAGTTGGCACGGGCCCATCTCTCAAGCCTGTCTAGGTCCCTCTAGATGGCAATCCCTTCCCTCCAGTGTGACGACTGCTCCACACAGCTTGGTGTCGCCAGCAAACTTGCTGAGGGTGCACTCAATCCAACTTTTCACGTTGTTGATAAAGATGTTAAACAGCACCGGTCCCAGTATCTACCCCTGAGGAACATCGCTCGTCACTGGTCTCCACCTGGACATCGAGCTGTTGACTGCAACTCTTTGCCAATTCCTTATCCACCGAGTGGTCCATCCAACAAATCTGGGTCTCTCCAATTTAGAGACCAGGATGTTGTGTGGGACAGTGTCAAAGTATATGGGTGTATATATATACACCCATGTATATATGTAAATATATATGGGTAACCTATATAACATATATATGGGTAATCTGGGTGTCTAACTCGATTTGAAGTCAGTGGAATGTGGAAGCAATGAATCAGGACCCTAATTTCTCTTCAGTTCTCAGCTTAAATATTTGAATCTCATATATGAATACAATTAGGAGGATTATTTCCCGGGAGAAAAAAGGGAAAAGTTTCCCAAATAAGCAGTTAGAGAAATGAAAGGAAATAAGATTATAAACAAAACAAAACCCCAAAAAGCTGTAAATGGAACTGATCTGACTCTTAGTCAAAACAAGGGTTGATTGAGATAGATACCAGCCCAGAGGGAATTTTGTACCTTGGTGACTCCTGTAACAAAAGTTCCTTCTAATTTATTTGTTGTATATTGAAATAAAAAGGCAGAAAGGATCTGAGTAGGATCTGAGCACAGAGGACTTTCAGCATGGTGCTCACAGAAGTGAGATCTTAGTAAATATATAAAAGAAAAATATTTTTGGCTGTTCTAAGATTTATATTAGTCATTCAAGCCTAAGCGTATAGTCCATATTTGTACAGATAATACTCAGTTAAAATTTAAAGGAAGTTATCAAATGCCAGTTTATTATAATGAAGTAAAGGCACTGGTGTTTTCGTTTGAGATTACAGGTTTTGGGATGCTGCGATAGAAAACCTCATCAGATTTAAGAACTAAAAAGAAATGCTAATAATCTACCCCACACTCAGCAAACAGTAAAAGGATTGATTATTTGTAATGTTTGGTTTATGCAAATGAGAGATCTTTTTTAGTTGCAAATATTGTTTAACTTATTTGCATGCAAAAAATACAAATGTTTTACAATTTCCTTATAATTAGTCTACCAACACTGAAGTTGCCTGAACTTTTTCCTTGCAGCAAAATTATGGTGCAAAATGCATTCTGGTACGAGACCGTGGCTTTCTTGTGCAGGTAGGATGTCATATCTTACCCATTTATGAAACACTGTGGAGCATGAGCGGACTGTTAATTATTTTTAAGCAGATGTTGTTTTTCTCATTTTCATTGTTCTCAGACTATTGAATTTGCTGAGCAGAGGATACCAGTATTGAATGAATACTGTGTAGTTTGTGACGAACCCCATGTGTTCCAGAATGGCCCTATGCTGAGGGTAAGTGGTGTGCTTGTTGGGATAAACAATGCATTTTCTAATGCCTTAAACAGCAATGGACGATACAAACCTGTTATAAAACTATTGGATTATTTCAGACATGTTTCATCCTAATATTCTTTTAAGATGAAGAAATGTAATGCATATCAACCAGATTTTACTGTAAAATTGAAAAAATGTATTGCAAGCAAGGGAGATGGAAAGCAGGCTTGTATAATAATCATAGAAACATAAAGGAGGGTTGTATGTCACTGAACACTATTATGCTAGAGTAGTCATAACCGGATAAGCTAGAGGAAGTGCATTAGAGTGCTTTCCCAGTCCTCTGGCACTCTTTTAAAAGCTTAGGATCACCTCAGTCCTTTAGTTTCTATCAAGCCATGTCCAGGGTATTCAGATACACGGGTGTTAATGCTACAAGGTCATGAAGTTCTGACACTCTTGCTCATGGGCCACTGGAATGAACCATCCTCCATAATGTGATAAAAAAGGCAGTAGAAGGAGATGCTCTGTGAAGTGTCTGATCTAGCAGTGACCTAGTCCAGGGGCACTGTTGTGGTTCAGTATGCCCAAGGACTGGCCAGTTACACAGCTCTTCCTTCCTTTCATTCCTGTATAACTGGGAACCAGGAATGCTGAACATTGCACCCTCTCATGCTGCTGGTGAATGCATAGTAAAAAAGAATAAGAATGGTCGTGAAAGACATACCCTGCCTGGAGCTACTGGATCAGTGCAGCTTTGTAAAAGAGTATATAGGAGAATAAAATTCTTACCTTTAGGACTGACCTTTCAGTTTAGAATCCTTCTTATTTCACCTGTCCTGAATCTTATGGAAACCTGAGTAACCTTAAAAGATTAAAGCCATTGAAAACTGTTTAATACCAGTGAATGGTCTGACTCCTCACCTGCCAATTTCTCCACAGTGTGGTGAGCAACTACAGATAAGATGAAGCAGACATCATCTATGATAGTTCCATGGAACTAAATTCAGGAAGTTTATTGCTTACATGGTAGCAGAAATCACCTCAGTGTCATCCCCCATGACACTCAGTGGTGCCATAGTCAGGCATTCTGACTGCAGGCAGGGTATGTAAATAGGCTGCTAATAGGATTTGCAAAAGTATCTACATATTCAATTAAAACCGTTTTAAGTCATGGTTAAACCTCTGTACTTTTGAAAATCCCATCAGGTGTTTATTTGCCTCTTGAAGCTCATATCTACCTTCTAAAACCATGTTTTTCTGACAGATTTATAAGCAAACAAACCCTGATTAGAAGCCTATAGAAAAGTCACCAGTTCCTTGTTGTTCATCTTTGAATGCACCGCTATGCATATTACAGGATGAGATAAGACAAATTGAATAATATGTGAAGTTTGGATAATATAATTATTGAAATCATTGGGTTTTTCTCTGTTGTCCATAGGACAAAGCAAACAGTAGGATTTATTCATTCCTGTTCACATGATGAACTATTAAAAGAAAACAGAATGGAAAGTCATCTGCTCTAAATTAAAAAATCATAATTCTTCTTGCTTTCCCACCTTAGAGGTCGAAATCCCTCAGAATGACTTTTCTCTGTCTTCAGCTTGAAGAGGGCTCATTTTAGCTATCCGTTTAAGTTTATCAGTCCTTTAAAACAGAGGAAAGTGTAAACATGTTTGCCACTAAACACATATTCATCAGTGCCTTTGCAAGCAGCATAACCTAGCAAGCTTTGCAAAAATGAAAGGTTGTCCTTATATAACCCAGGGAGAAGGAGATAGCAGGAAGAAATCTAGCATGCTCTGTGTATGCTTGAATGACTCAATAAGCAATATAGAGCCATTAATGAGTTTGCAGGTCTGCAGAAGGTGAGGAAGGATCTCAGTTTGAATAGAGCATGAGTTTGCCAATGGGTCTTAAGGAAATTTATGCTTCATTCTACTGAGAGCTCTGGCAGAGGTAGCCTGAAGTAGTCAATTGTGGGGTTTATTTACATGCTTCAGCTGCACACACACATACACGTACATACATATACATGTAATGTATGTAAAGGGAATAAAGAATGACCCAACTGAAACAGCACTTTATATTTAATACTGCTGCAGCAGCAGATCTCAGAAATACAGTACTTGACTAAGCAGAATGCAGGGGACTTTCATTTAAGGTAAGGCTACATGCGTTCTAGCCTTGTGTCACTTAATGGAACCCATGGTTTTGATACCACAGTAACTTCAGATTTCATAATGATCAGAACCTTGCTATGGTCTGCTTATATTTTTAGGTTCTGTGTCTTGATCCCATTTTCTGTAGATATCCATATCTCAAAGACATTACTTAGGCTCTATCTGTAGTTGGTTGTATCACAAGAGATGCCACAGACTAAATAGTTCTGGATGGCTCAACAGTCGCTTCCTTTAAAGAATCGCTCCTCCACACAGATGCACACAGGGTCACGTCTGGGTGTGTGTATCCTTAATGATGAGTTTCCCTTTTACCTTCTGGACCTTTTTTCCAACAACAAAGCAAGCATATGAATTTATAAAAGCATAGAAAAGTTATTGCTTGAGAAATTATTTTTAAATGTTTTTAGGCTTGCTTTTCTGGTATTTAATGGCGTTTTACGCAATTGCCAAGAAGCCATACTCACTGTAAGGAATTTGATTCTGTAAGGAATTTGACTCAGTAAGGAATCCTCCAGTATGTCAGCCTGACACCTTTTCTGAACTGTAGTGTAGACAATTAATTGTCTTGAAATGCAGTTTAAAAAATTCAACAATTGCCATCACACAATAATTACATTCTTTTAATACTGTAAACTCCCATACCCGGGTTTAATTTTTTGTGCTGGTTATTAATGACTTGCATAATTCTGATGTCTCATCCTCAGGACAGCCGAAGATAGCAAGTGACACTGTGAGACAAAGTTTTTCCTTTCTGCAGATTTGCTCTACAGGCTATGTTTTTATCTTAGTTATACAGTATCTTTAAATCAGTCTCTCTCAGCACAAGCTTTCTTCTCAGTATTGTGTGGTCTTTTTTTAATATCTATTTCAATTTAATATGCTTTCTTAAAATCTTGACATCTTCTTTCCCATAAGATAAGAGCAACTTGATGACAACAAGATGTGTCTTTTTATATAGCTTAATTTAGACACTAGATCCACATGGCAGACATACCATTGTATGGAAGATGTCTGTTGTAGAACAGCTGCATAACACAATTGCATATGTTTGGCTTTGTGCTCTTGGACGCCTGTCTTTCTCTGGAGCCTTCGGTACTAATCTAATCATACAAATCACAGAATCATAGAATCATAGAATAGTTTGGGTTAGAAGGGACCTTTAAAGGTCATCTAGTCCAACCCCCCTGCAATAGGACTTTGAGGGAATGTGTTGTATGAATTTATCTGATCATTCGTCCTCAATCCATGAACAATTGGCCAAGTTGAGAGACAATATGTACAAATTGACTCGGCAATACTCATGGCTAGACACTATGTTCCAGTCTTGGGGGTTGTCAGGATGGCTGCTCGATTTGGCCAAGCAAGGCTTAGTCATATTGCATATAGTTATAGTGTTGCTTGCTGTTATACCATGCTTATTGATGTGCTTAAGGAGAATGTTGGAAAAGTCTATGGAAAGAATGTTTGCGGGAGCTTGGGTTGCTCAAAAACAAAAAGGGGGATTTGTGGGAGAATTTTTAGAGATCAGTGGTCACCCTGTGAGCACCCCAAGCACTGAGGACTTGTTGACAACAGTGTAAGCTTCAAGGAATGTCGAAGGTCAAATTGTGTTTTGTGAACGTCTGAGTTATGTAGAGGGAGGAAAGAACTGTTGCTGAATGTACCGATAAGCAGGACTTTGAGCAAAACATAAAAGAAGATAACTGTGCACATGGACAGCTAGGGCTAGCCAATCATATAGTAAGGATGCTCGCGTGAACTATGCATGTAACCAATTGCTGCTTGAGTGTTGCGTGGCGCGGGAGAGAACTGTCTATAATAGCTGAGCTATCTGTGCAATAAAGTGGCATTTACCTTGATCATATCGGTCGTTGTGTATTTGTCCGAGCTTCCGCGTCAACATGTATCCATGTTTGGGATTGCCTCAACCCACATGCAGGACCTTACACTTGGCCTTGTTGAACATCATGAGTTTTGCACAAGCGCACCTCTCAAGCCTGTCCAGGTCCCTCTGGATGGCATCCCTTCCCTCCAGCGTGTCAACCGTACCACACAGCTTGGTGTCACTGGCAAATTTGCTGAGGGTGCATTCAGTCCCACTGTCTATGTCCCCAACAAATGTGTTAAATAATACTGATAGCAATACAGACCCACTCGTTGCTGGTCTCCACCCAGACATCGAGCCTTTGACCACAACTCTTTAAGTGTGACCATCCAGCCAATTACTTATCCACCGAGTGGTCTACCCGTCAAATCCATGTCTCTCCATTTCCTCACATATGAAAGTGTTGATATAGTTGAATCTGAGTTTGTGTGCATGTACATAAATTTAATTCTGAGAGTTTTAGTTTTCTTTCTGATTTTCAGTATTTTTAGGTAATGTCACAATTCATTTTAAGAGCTCACCATTTTTTACTACTATTTCTTGAATTTCATATCATTAATCTCTTAATGCTTTTTTAGCTTTTCAGAGATTACACAAATATGGAAGCTCTTTAGGACTCACTAAAAGTGCAGGTTTCAGTATCATTGTCTAACAAAATGCCCTTCTTTTTGGACAACATTGCTTTGTGAGCTTCAATGTGTTTTTTCTCGTCTCTACCTTTTGTGGTCCCTTCCATCCAGTCTCCTCCAGAAAGGAGGCCTCTATTCCCATGAAGTATATAATACTTGATGCCAATAAAAACCACAGAGGAGTCCTACACTCCTTTTTACTTCAAAGACTTAAACTTGCAAGCTGCCAAGAAATATGGGATACTGGAAAAGTAAGGAAGCCTGTAGTAGCAATTTTATATAAACCAACATGAAGAATATAAGAGAGATGTAAGGCACAAATGTAGGTGTTTAGATTTCTGAGATGGAAATTGGATCAAAGTTGATTGATAAATAATTTAATACTTTTACCTGTAGATAAATTAATTAAACCACAGTAGACTTTAAACAAATTAACTACTCTTAACAATTATTTAGACTTAATAAGTCTAAGTGTGAAAGATTAATATCTAAAATGTTCTTTCTCTCATGATGCCATCCAGAAGGACCTGAACAGGCTAGAGAGGTGAGCTCAAGACAACCTCATGCAGTTCAAGAAGGCCAAGTGCAAGGTCCTACATCTGGGTCGGGGCAATCCCAAGCACAAATACAGGCTTGGCAGGGAATGGCTGGAGAGCAGCCCTGAGGAGAAGGACCTGGGGGTGCTGATTGACGAGTAGCTCAACATGAGCCAGCAATGTGCGATCGCAGCGCAGAAGGCCAACTGTATCCGGGGCTGCATCAAAAGAAGTGTGGCCAGCAGGTCAAAGGAGGTGATTCTGCCCCTCTACTCCACTCTCGTGAGACCCCACCTGGAGTACTGCATCCAGCTCTGGAGTCCCCAACATAAGAAGGACATGAACCTGCTGGAGCGTGTCCAGAGGAGAGCCACGAGGATGATCCGAGGGCTGGAGCACCTC